CAGAGGCTCCGCCGAACCCCTGAGACCAACTCATCGAACCCCTGGGGTTCGATTGAACCCGGGTTAAGAACCACTGCTTTAGAGCTAAACTGCTGGTTCAATAAATCTCTGAAAGAGAAGCAAAAACATTTATAGTTGTGCTTGAGGACAGTTTCACTTGGTGGAATAAAAACAAGAGAACAAACGAGAAAGAGTAGCTGGAACAACAAGTGGTCTGGAATGACCAGGCTGCTGTTAATGACCTTGACCCTGTCCATCAGTGTTTTCATAGCTCAATAAGGATGGAAGCAATAGATGCCACTGCTTTCAGGGGGTTGTTTCGAATGATATTATGCACTACAAAGAAGATAATAAATAGAGACTTAAGACAGGTCTTTAAGGTGACTCTGTCTGGACATGTGGCTGTTCCTCTACAAAATCTGCTTTAGGGTATAATCCAATCACAGAGAAATTGGGGGATTAAAATAAGATTCTGGGTGCAGTACTGGGAAATCTAATATACCGTATAGGAGCAGAGAAATGCTGCACTTACGTGTAACATTCCAAAGAGCCCGTTAAAAGTTCTGTCGTAACGAGGAACGCACCAAAACATCAGCTGTTGATCAGAATCAGATGATTTTCAGCTTGATTATCAGCCAGTTGGAGATCCAGATATCTGATTTATTTTTCCCCCCATTCAGTGAACCCCACCATATGTGAGGTGTAACATGATGCGCACTGACAACACTTTCAGATGTGGTAGTTGTTACTGAAATCTGTATTTATTTATTTTTTTTTATATTTGAAGTTCATTTGGGCTGCAGAAGAGAAGAGCGGGAGAGAGCAATACTTTCCACAGACAACAGGAAGGCTACACATATTACAGCAAAGTTGCATTGCTTTTGGGTGGCAGGTGGTGCAGTGAAAGAGCAGCTCCCGGCAGTTTGATTTCCATCTTAAGACCTTTGCTGAATGTCTCCCTCCCACTCCTCCCCATTTTTTCTCTTTGCATATTTCCTGTCGGACTGCTGCCTACAGAAGCAATAAAACATATAAAACAATAGTTTTAGCAGTTTGAGCCTTGAAACCCTGTCATGTAACATGATAGACTTGGAAGTGTCTAAAAATAAACCAGTTCACCTTTCATTGCTTGCTTTGTCATGAGTAAGATAGGTAGGCTCAACTAAACAATAGCCACTAGTCGCATAGCATCATACAATATTTAATGAGTTCTCTCTTTTTCCTTTGCACTCCCCTTTGTGCTTTACATTTGATCCTACTGGGAAGTAATGACTTGGCACACTTGGCACATTTTTTGACGGCCAAGATTAAAGCAAAGCCTCTTCAGAGATAAGTATAACGTGTGCAACACTTGTACTTGAGAGAAAATATTGGCACAACTGTGTCCAAAAATGTGCTTAATTTGTTGATTTTAACCTCTGGGAGGATGAATGAGAGAAAATCTCTGACAAGTAGGTGAATTTAAATCTGTTAATCACAGAACAATGTGCATGTTGTCCTCACCTAACATCAGCTGCTCAAAATCAAACAGATCATTGTTCAATGTTGAAAGGAGAGCCACTCCCTGCATGTTTGACATTTGACACCAACTTGTTTGAATCAACATCTTTGGAAAATATGAACACAGATTAAAACTGCCAATGCCCAACAGTGAAAATATCACTTCGTCATAAGCTGATGAGTGTGTAATGTGTTCTGCTTTGCAGAGTGCACGGCTCAGGTAAACTGAAGAGAGGAGACCTGTCCATGTATGATTGCAGGTGCACAGTTGCATGCTATGAAAAGACACACACATATGATTTTTCTCATTATTCATAATTTTTCATCCTTTCCCAAAATAATCTACCCAAGAGTGGGTATTATTTTAGAAACAATTTGAAAGGAGAAAAAATAATTAAATATTTTTGCTTAACCTCTGATGATACTGTGCAGAAAACCACACAAATTTTGACCATCATGATATTCTATCAGGAAGCTGAAATAGTGAGGATGTCTGTCTACAAGATTACACTAGCCTACGTCTCTAACCACTTACATTTAAAAATTACTCTTTTGTTCGATTACCTTCATGTTTTGTGGGCCATAGAGGCTACAGTGAAAGTGGCTTACAGAATGAGAAGCAGCATTTATTTTTAATCAATATGTATGTTTGCATTTATCCCTTCAAGCACCATCCTACCTAATATCATGACTGTTATCAAAGGAAATGCATAACTGCAGAAACCTCAGAAACTTTTACTGTATTGCAAAGATGTATATAAAATATATAATCTCTCCTACTACTCCTTGGAGACTGAAAAGAGAAACTCCCACACAAACTGTATATTAACCCTCTTCAGTCACTGTAAGTGCGGAGGAAATATTAATTTGTCCTCCTCCATAACACACTCCAACTGCTCTTGTATTTTTTAAAGTTTTTCTTTAACGCATGCTTTATCCCTCCACGAAAATCTAAATCATCTTCTTCGTTGTTGCTAAAGCTTCTTTTCCCCTGATAGGCCTAGAATCAGTTGGGAAGCTTATTTATAGTGAAAACACTTCCACATTCTGGACTGTCTTAATAGAACAAAAACAAGATGAAGGGAAGTGAAAGAGTGAAGTTAATCTATTATTCACACAAGAAGAATGTGACAGGCTTTATGTCAGAAGCTGTAAACTGCACAGTGCTGACATCTCTGGAGGTTTTCTGCTGTTTTTAAAAACAAAACTGGCTTTGGGAAAAAAACAAACAAAAAAAAAAAAAACTCCGTCACAATTCAAACCCAAATTTGTACAAAATTAATCTTCATCGTGTCAGATGCTGATCAATTTTACCTTTCGCTTTCGAGGGATGGGGTCCTCAAACATAAAATGTGTGCTCTCTGAAACATCCTCACTGGCATCATCTCCCTGGGCCGAGTGCAGGAAGCCCGTGTTGGCATCTTTGGAAAGTGGTGGGGACGGTGTGGAGGGCACTGATTGGTCACTGGCGTCCCAGCTCCAGTTGCCGCTCGTCGAGCTGCTGTAACTTGCAGAAAGCACCTCTTTCCATGTTTTGCTGGCTGGTTCTGGATGCACAAAACAAATAGCAGAGTTTAAGATATTTCAAAACACTACTTACAAGCAAATGTTTCTTTTCCCTAAATTTATCCTGAGTAAATGTTAATTTTTCATTTAAGGAAACAGATCAAAACATGTATCCAAGCTTATAAAAATGGAATGGGATTGACAGATGTGGAATACAGTCTACTTCCAAGTACAACATGGAGCTGAATCACACAGACCAAATGTATTAACTGCCATGAAACAAACAAAAAAAGAAACACTATGTGCTAAGACAATATGTCAGACAATATACAGATAACAGATTCACATTAACAGCTTATAAATCTGTGATCAACTATCATTCTCGTGCTTCTGTAATGTGGTGAGTTATGTAAGCAGTTCATAAAACATAGCTCCTCCTAACTTAACTGTCCTCTGAGGGGAATGAAAGCTGAATACCACAACAAAACCTTAAAGGGATAGTTCAGATTCTTTGAATAGGGGTGCTATGAGCAATTCAAGGTTAGTTTATTTAAATAGAACCATTCATACGTTAAGCTGTGGAAGGTGCTTAAAAAGTGACATAGTGACTGATAGAGAATAAGAAAAGGAAACATTTTTTCATGCAGGTAATTAGATTATTTTACCAAAAAGTGCTGTAAACAAAAATGTTGTTAGTACCTCTCAGCTTTGTTCATCTCAGGTTTTCATGGAGTTTGGTCATGAACTGAGAAGCAGAGAGACTAAATGCTGCCTCACCTTGTATATTTGTGGTCCAGCAAACACCGAGTGAACAGGTATTGAAGACCTGAGGGGTCCGCAAAGTTCGAAACTGACAGGATTTTAAAATCTATCATTAGATATACAGGGAGCCAGCACCAGTAAGCTAATTTTGCAACAAACGTTATGTTTGTTAAAATTCATATTTGAGTCCAAAACATAATCGGAGTTTCTCACATGCTTTGGGGTTTAAATGCTGATCTTAATCTTCCCATTTTGGGACCAAAAACCACAGTGTCTGTCTCATCTATATTAACCTGGGTTAAATATCAACCCATTGCCTCATTTATGTTCATTTACAATATGGTCACCTTGACTCAGTAAATGTAGTGGTCATGTGGTGACATGGACATATAAAGTAGTTTGTTGTCAGCAGCATACATACAGTAGTAGATGTAGTCCTCTAAAGTCTAGTTGGACCGGTAGATGATGGAAAAAAAAGTGGTCTGAAAATGAACCCTTGAGGAATCACAAAAATTCATTTTTATTCTCCCAGATTTAAAATGATCAAACACAAATTTCCTGTCTGTTAAAAAGAATAAGAACCGGACAATTCCACACATTTCTCCAGCATATCAATTATTATGCTATGAGCAACTGCATCAAAGGCAACAATGAAGTTAATCAATACCAAGACAGAAAGTTCTAGACCCATCATTGTTAAGACGTCTACTGATCAAAACTTTTACCACTGGAGTCTCGGTTCTGTAGCGTGATCAAAAGTCCGCCTACAGCGCTAAAGAAATTATTTCTCTCTTTTTACCTTAAATTTGTTCATAAACCATTTTTTTCAATTATCTGTCAGAAACTGTAGACTGGATATGGGTCTGTAATGACTTGCTGATAGATAAATTCAAACACTAAGTAGCCATAAAATACTTGGCCAGATCTGATGTCCTTGTGTGCAGAGCAGATCTAATTCTTTGTGAGAAGGATGAGCGGCAAAGACATTGTGGAGATGAAAAACAGAGAAGAGCAGCTCTAATTTTAAATTGTTACTGCATTTTGGTATGCTATAAAAAAAATGTTTATCTTAATTTATTATCATTATGGCTTTGAATAGTTACGCAACAAGGGAAGTCTAACAGGTTTTGTCTTGACATGATTTCACTTGACCAGCTTTGAACTACTTTGCTTCTGGAGGAAAACTTAATCTTCTTTTAGCCAAACTGACGTTGATCATTGAGTTATACTGTATACTACAGATAAGACAACGAAAGCTCAGGACCTCAAAATATCCATTTCTTTAGATTTCTTGGCATTCTAATTTAAAATCATCCACTCTCTCTTATTGAGAAGGGGAAAAGAAACTACCGCCAACGTAAATGAAATGCTTCCAGGACTTTGACCGTCTGGCTAAGCTGGCATGATAAGGGCAACAACAGCAGTGCTAGACATTGTGAGAGGACCTGTGTTTATAGGGTCAAAATTTAATAGAACATGAATGCATCAGAAGATAACGAAATATTGCTGATAACATTACAAGGTTCTATCTTCCCCTGGATAAACATTCAGCAGCTCAACTTGATTCAGGGTAGAGGAACATCAAGCGGTTTGAGATGAGCACTCTCCCCAGCCTCTCAGAGCTTAGAGTTAGCACCCTTTGGCAGGTTTTTAAAGTAAATGTACTTGATTTATTTAACATGGAGGATGACTCACTGTTTGATCATGCAGCTCCTACTGAGGGAGCTGTAGCTGCAGGGTGGAAAGGAAACCTAAAGGCTTATGGTGTTACCTGTGGGCACAGAGGAAGGATAGAGCACCAAAGGGGATGTGGACAGTGAGGTCAAGACGGTGGCAGCCATCACCTCCTTATCGGCGTGACCTGAAGGATTCCTGGAAAACACACAAACAATGACAAAACGTGAAAAAAAAAAGAAAAAAAAAAGCGCTCACTTCATGTTTGAAGAAGTTATATAATTGTGTATTTGAAAACACAACAGCATCACTTTATATTCTGTAAAAATGTCAAATATCTGTTGCTAAACAACATAACCTTCATGGAAAAAAAAATAACCATGAAGCAAAAATAAATAAAGCAAACAAGAAGTAAGAGCGTTAACAGACTTTCAGTGAGCCTTGAACAACTTGCTGCGTGTGTGTATACATGAGACTCCAATGGAAAGCCTCTAGGGTGAAAGTGCCTTATAGTGTGCCTTTTACTCTGCCTGTGGAACCTTGCTGGTGAAGCTAAAGAGAGACGCCTTCTCCTCCTCCTCTCCACTAAGCTCAATACTGAGAGAGCCTGCCTCGTTCTAAACCTTTATGCTACTCAGTGGAACCACGACAAATGCAAGTGCAACACAGCTCCAGCAGAGTGGAGGTTTTTAACATGCGGCAATTTCAGAAAAAAAAAATGTTGCAGAACAGTCACTGAAAAGCTTCCTGCAAACATTAACAAACTTATCTGCCTCTCACACACCATTTCTCTCTATTGCTTGTATTTGGCAATCTCCGCTGCGGTTCCTGCCGTCCTTGAAAGAGAAATGTGGGGAAAATTGTTTAAGGCCGGTCCAAGAACTCACCCACACACTTGCGCACATTTGCACACGCACACACACACATAACAGGATTTGTTTTATCAGGTTACGTTAGGTAGAATAGCAAGCTCTCCTAGTGTACGTAGTCAAGTGGGCACATTTTAGAACTGTATACATGCGATACAGACCAATAAAAATGGGCAGAAATCTCCAACTCTTGTGTGAAGAGAAAGGAAGCCTGGCGCTTTAAAAGGCTCTTGTCCCGCCCCACTGACATCTCCACTACTCAACCAGAGTAAACTGGTTTGAGGCATTCTCTCAGCCAAGCCCTAAGCCCTGGCTAAGCTCCACAGTGAGTTTTAATACAAGCTCGAGCACACAAATGCACACAATCAATTAAAAAAAAAAACTTCTACAAACATGTCTAGAAGTGCGCTTCAAGTGATCAACCTGATCATTTACCTGCAGAAACAGCACTTTGTGTAATAAAAGTTCACTTTATAAAGAGTTTTATAGAAGCACAGAAAAAAAGTTTGTAAGTGGCTGAGCTCCCACGCTGATGAGAATTTGCTGGATAGGGAGCAAACCCATCCCAACGGAATGTACCAGATATCTCTCAGAAAGAAAGCACTCCACCACACTCCACACAGAAAGAAAAGTGTTAAGATATGTTAGCTTTTACTCCTCTACATTGTCCAATCGAACCCGAGTGCTCAGAGTCATTGAAGAAAATTCAGAGTATTAATAGTACTGCAGAAAAGGACACCAGAACTACAGAAAAATGAGTAAACATGCAATATGTATAAACAGCACAGACAAATACATGTAGGCACACACACATACAGTCTGGCCAAGAGATAAAGAGATAACAAGATTAGCTGTGTCCTGTTTCAGTCATTAGCCATGTTTTCAGTACTAAACAGGGCCAGCCAGGGACACGGTTATGACTTATGGAGCTCATTTATCTGCTGTTTGTTTCCACTTCATCATCAACACAGGCGATGTGTTATCAGTTTGAACATGGAAGTAAAATGTATTCTTAAAAGTGAGAGTTAAGCCCACTTTAGTCTGTTTTCTGGAACCTACATGTGCATAACATTTAGAGGGGATAAGGAAGCAAACGCGCTAAAAGTATAGCTAGCCTTTTGGTTGAAACCAGAGTTAATCAAAATTTTATTATTCCTCCCTCTCGTGCACGTATGCCTGCAAACACAGATACCAAGACACAACCGACACCATTACCACCCACCTTCCATCCCCAGCCCGATTTCCTGACATTGAGCACTTTCCTTCCTCTGCTTCCCAGAACAACCATGATCCCTAACAGTCACCACAGCTTCTACATCTGGTGCACATTTCTCTGTATGGATGTGATGAGCAAAACAACACATGGACATGTTTTAGACATCTTTTCACACAAAGCCAACTGATGATCGTTTTTTTTTTTTTTTTTTAATAAACAGATGACCTAATTTACTGATGCTCCTCGACCGATTTTGATATCAGTGTTTACAGCAGATGGCTGCCACATTCTGCCATCATAAAAACCAACTCTGAACATAAAAATTAACTCGGACATATAACTGCTCCACCATCACCGCTTATCGCTCACTTCGATGGACGCGCGGCCCTAAATGACACGGTCCCTCGTCTCATCTGTCTGTGGAATAACTATGAAATATTTAAAGCTTGTGGGAGAGCAGAACAGGAGGAGAGCACAAAAACTGCAACAAGGTCTTTAAAAATCTGTTTACACCTTCTAATAGCAGGATTTATTTTAAAACAAGTTAAACTGGACATGGTTTTATTTAGGCTTCCTGCAATTTCTGCTTTTAGGGAAAGCAGATATTGCTTTAGACAAACTTTATCTCTGTGTCTTGTACTTAGACATGCGGTTGAGAGGATGATGAGGTTAAGTTTTTGGGATTTTTTTTTTACCTTTTCAAATTTGGATGTTTGCAAGCACATTTCACTCAAAGATAATATGATAAATTTGACACTCATTTGAATGAATTTACATAAGTAGCCTGTGGTTACTATGTTATTTTGCTGGGTGTGGTGAAGCCATTCATGGCAGATGTTAAATTTAACTCCGTCAATGACAAGGGTTTCATGAGGTGCCAGTTACTTTAAGTGAGAAGGCTTAATCCCATTTTAGTACATGTGTGTCTATGTAACACATAGTACCTTTCAAATTTATGCAGCCACTAGAACTTAAACTGAACTAAACTGATCACTATTGTACTTTATGTG